AGAGCATCCCAGACAGGACTGCCCAGACTGAGGGGTTGTGGATCCCCTCCCCTCCACAGCAGTTTCCATCACTGGTCATCAGAGAGGGACAGATGTGACCGAGATCATCTTCTGCTGATCTCTTGGGTATAAACCACCTTAGTTTTCCTGAGTTTCATCCAATTCTGCTGGTCATGTATTAGTACCACAGAATGTTTATTGTAAGGGCAAAAAAGTGTTCCAGCTCTGTAGCAAGTCAACAAACTGGAGACTGCTGCTAATGACAGGGTTTCAGACTGGAAGAGCTCCTTCTTGGGTTGCAAGCAGTTTGGCAGCTATTATTGCAAGTACTGCTTTGCTTCAGGAAACGAAATACATGACTACTGCAGCTACATTCAGACACAGACTGCAATTACCTTTTAGCCAGGGCTGGGATCTCTGCAAGAAAAGCACTGTTCAGGAACATTTCAAACGCATCATCTCAGCTTCTCTGCTTTGTGATATAAGTGAAGTTCATGCCTCTAAACAATCATTTAAATATGCACAAAGTGAGTTTTGTTTGCACAGCAAAAAACAAATGAGAAGCAATCTACTATTAAAATCAAAATCAGTGTTAAGAACAAAACACTCGAGCAAGTGCAGCCCATTCCCAACCCAGCACAGCAGAAGCAATAAGAAATCAGCATAGGGAGCTGTTTTTCAAAATACCTTTAATCTCCAAGCCATCATAGCTGTTGATTATTATATGTGGTACACACAACCCCACAAAAAAACTTGAGGACACCATAGTTATGGCTTTCCATCACTAATGTTATAATGTTATTGCAATCATTATACAGTATTTGCTTAGTCTTACAAACTGTTGCAAATGTATTATATAGGTAAAATATTACATATCTTAAAACCAGAATAGTTTCTCCTATTTTGCTTGGACGTGTTCCTTACAACACAGAGAAAGGGAGTAAAAGAGGGAGAAAAGGAGAGGGATTTTTACAAGTCAGAGTCATGGGAGCTCAGGCAGCTTGAAAACATCATCCACTTAATTTCAGTCTGAACACTCCCCATTAGGGGCATAAATCAGAACTCTCACATAACTGTGTGCACAAAAATGTCTTTTTTTTCTCAACTGAGAAGTGCACTTCGAGTTACCCATTCCACATCCCAAGAATGAACCCAATGCCTTATGCCAAACCCAAGCCTCTGCTTACCAATCACAGAGTCATGAGACCCGCACATAGATATTTCAAGGATAACCTCTTCTGAGTTCTTTCCAAGGACAGATCTGTGTAAGAGAGAAAGTGAAAGTGAAATCCATTCCTGAGAGACTTCAATATTTAATGCAATTATGTCATTGATCAACATAATCACAGAATCATTATGGTTGGAGACCTTCAAAATCATCAAATCCAACCACAAGGCCTTCTACACCATGTGTGTTACACCAYGTAAGTGCCTTGTCTGCATGTGTTTTGAACACTGACAGGACGGTGACTCCACCACTTCCCAGGTTAGCCTGTTCCAGTGCTTCCATGTAAAATTTCTCTCTCTTCCAATTTCCACTCTTTCCATGTAAAATTCTTCCTAATGTCTAGCCTGAACCTCCCCTGGCACCACATGTGGTCATTTCCTCTTGTCCTATCTCTAGATATTCTAGAGGAGAGACCAACCTTCATCTCACTACAACCTCCTTTCAGGTAGCTGAAGAGAGCAACAAGGTCTCCCCTTCTCCAAACTAAAAAACCCCAGCTCCCCTGGTTGCTCCTCGTAAGGTCTGTGCTCCAGCCTCTTCACCAGCTTCATTGCCCTTCTCCGGATACACTCCAGTGCCTCAATGTCCTTCTTGTAGTGAGGGGCCCAAACCTGAACACAGTATTTGAAGTGCAGCCTCACTAGCACTGAGTATATTGGAATTATCACTTCCCTGGTCCTGCTGTTCCTGCTGTTCCACTGCGCCTGATACCAGCCAGGAGGCCCTTGGCCTTCTTGGCCACCTAGGCCCTGCTGGCTCATGTGCAGCCGCCTGTCAACCAGCACCCCCAGGTCTTTTTCTGCCGTGCAGCTCTGCGGGCACCCTGCCTCAACCTGCAGTGCTGCAGGGGGTGGTGGTGACCAAAGTGCAGGACCCAGCACTTGGCCTTGTTGAATCTCCTACGGTTGGTCTCAGAYCATGGATTTGGCCTCTCCAGATCCCTCTTGGGAGCCTTCCTACCCTCCAGCAGATCTACTCATCCTGCCAGCTTGGTGTCATCTGAATACTTACTGAGGGTGAACTCATCCCCTCCTCCAGGTCGTTGATAAAGATATAAAAGAGGACGAGCCCCAACACTGACCCCTGGGGAACATGGCTCATGACYGGTCACCMGCTGGATTTAACTCCAGTCACCACCACTCTCTGGGCCCGGCCATCCAGCCGGTTCTTTACCCAGTGAAGAGTCCACCTGTCTAAGCCAGGAGCTGCCAGCTTCTTCAGGAGAAGGCAATGGGAGACTGTGCTGAAGGCCTTGCTGAAATCTAAGCAGACCAAGTCCACAGCCTTTCCCTCATGCACTAGGTGAGTCACCTGGTCATAGAAGGAGATCAGGTTGGTGAGACAGGACCTGCCTTTCACGAACACATGTTGGGTGGGCCTGATCCTCTGGTTGTCCCACACATGCTGTGTGATCACCTTACTTAAGATGATCTGCTCTATAACTTTCCTCAATACCAAGGTCAGGCTGACAGGCCTGTAGTTCCCCAGATCTTCCATCCAACCCTTCTTGTAGATGGGCGTCACATTGGCAAGTCTCCAGTCATCTGGGAACTCCCTGTTGACAGACCAGTTGATAGATGATGAACAGCAGCGTGGTGGGCACTTCCACCAGAGCACTTCCCTCAGAACCCTCGAGTGGATCCCAACTGGACCCATAGACTTGTGGATTTCCAAGTGAGATAGATAGATGATTACACATTGGTATAGATTTTTTTYCCTATATATCTTTAACATATCATCTGCAGAGACTCTCTCCAAACAACCAGATTTTTTTCTCTTCCTGCACAGGAAAGCTTTAGCTTGGAAGTACCACATTTGCTAAGTTTCTAAGACCGAATTCTAATGTCACTTGCATGTTTGCACTACCAGTTTCAGCTGTAAGTGCTTTTTACTTGGGCAAACAGATAGATGAAGAAAAACTAAGGAGATTGACAACTCCTGAAAGTCTCCAAAGGCATAAGGGAAATCTGGGGGTTGCAGCACAGGGACAGAAGAGGCTAAGGCACCCTTTGGTACCACCTGACAACTACACTTGCCCATAGCCCCAGGCAATGGGCTCCAAAGCAAACATAAGTGTACAAAAATCTACCTGTCTCTACCACACTAGCAGCTTGTGCATTCAGTAATAATAGATGTCCCCATGGRAAAAAAAAAAAAAAAAAAAGTCAAATTCAGACAGCAAATCAGAAGAAAACAGGATGGTTAAAAAGAAAATGGGGGTTGTGTCTCCCTGCCACCCACATGTCCCTGGGGGGAAGGCCCTTTCTGCCCAGGCTTCATTTCACACACTGAAGTCTCCCAGTAGGCTGCAGCTTGTATTGCTCCAAAAGCCACACAGTCCCTTCCAGAGCATCAGGAAAAGTTTATTTGCTTTCAGTCATCTCTGAGACTCCTTTTTCTAATTTGTTGCCTTGCCTCTTCTGCTATGGCTTGCAGCCCTGCAAGCCTCTTTTTTTCACTCTCCGAAAGATATGCGGTCAGGTTGCATATTATTGGTTTTATTGAAACTCTACATAGATATTTTTTTTTCCAGGAAATGACAAAACCATCTTAACTGTAGCAAAAGTCAGCATCATAGGTATGCCAGAAATACTGCTGTGTGTTACCAGACAGCTTTAGAGGAAGTTGTTAATAGTTGCTGATAAAAAAAACAAAGGCAAAATTAAAAAATATAGCCTAGCTATTACTTACTATAAAATTTTAAAGACTCCTCRGGGACTAGATAAATGGTAAGATTCTTTGCCAATTTTGGTTTACAATGATAACTGATGCAAGTCGCAATTAGCACCCCAAGAGCTGGAGGCTGCTGAAGCTGGAGTGCCAAAAGCATTGGTGAGGCAACTGTTTAAAAAGCATGCAAAAGTCTSTGCACTCAACTCAAAGAGCAGTTATTCTCTCTGTCTTTCATCTTTTTCTTGCTACTGCTTTCAACCCTGCAGCATCACCACATCAAGAAGATAACAAACTGTGGTTCCAGTCTAATTCATGCAGCAGCTTCTTAGAACTGCCAGACCAGCTTGGCTTTGCAAAACTTGTACCAATGTTCAAGAAAGCGCTTGCAGCATGCAGTGGAGTTGTGGTGGGACTGCAAAGATGACAGCTATATCAGCACAGCGCTGTGCCAGACCCAGTTACCTCTGAAACATGTCTGTGTTAATACAGCTGGGCTTCTTCCGGGGCTTTGATTTGTCTCTCTTCACAACATTAGAGGCAAGTTTGATTCTATCTTCCATGTCATTGTTCTGCAGGGTATAAACATATTCGGATTTTGCTTACGCATTCTTTTTTTTTTTTTTTTCGTACTGATGAAAGAAAGAATCAGGGATAGGTTCAGATTGCATCAAACAGAAACCATGAATATGAAAAATTCTATGCTGAGTTTATTTTCRTAGTCATTTTGAAGATCTGAATTTAATTTTAAAAGTCAAATTCTGTTTATTAAATATTTTGTATTACTTTCTGTTGAGCTACAGAAATATGCAGAGCAGTTACAAATAGTGGTAGACCCAAGGATACAGTTTTATTGAACAGAACCTAGTAGGCTCAACCCTGAAGAGGAATGTGCTGGTTTTGATACCAAACTCCAGCTAGAGCAGAATGAGTGATGCCTGTAAAGTCTTCATCCCTCACTTTTGAACTCATTGTGAAAACTGAGCATTTCTGGAAAAGAAGAACAATGACCTTGCTTCTTGTAATAGTTTAATAGTTTTGCAATAGATCACACAGGAAGTGCTATTTCCTATTTTCAAAGATAGGGTTTAACTATATGTTCAGTCACAAAGAAGAAGACACAGTCGGAAAAATACAAGCTTGGTAAACCAGTGAGTAAATAATTTTCTTTCCTTTCTTTTACACATAAATGCTTATATATGAATAGAGATTAATTAAGTGGAGAAGTATGCACACTTAATTAGAATGGTAGGAGATCTACCATTTAAGCACAGACACTTTTGAAGAATGACTGGATTCGGTAGACAGCTTAGAACCCAGTATAAGGTAAGTGCTACAGCTAAGAGTTAAATTGGATAAATACTGTATAAAATTGTCATCTTTTTGTACTAGAAACTTCTTGGACATTGGTTTTGAAGTCATTGTAGGCCAATGACTCTAGCTGACCTAGACTCTGATTAGATATAATTTTTTCACAATCTAACTGCAGCAAATCAAAGTCATATCTAGCTCTTTCAGGTGAAGATGGCAGAAGTCCTTTTTCASTAACCTATTACAGCCTGCCTGGATTTCTTTGTACTATTCAAACATTTAATCTGTTAAAAATGCTGGTTCTTCGTGTGAAGTGTTCTTTGGGGTTGGTTCCTCTTTTTCTTTTTTTAATATTAGTCTCAGGGTCATTATATTAGAAAGCCTCCAGTCCATATTTAAACTAGAAATAACAGTTTTATGTTCAATCATCATGATCTGGCTTGCAATTTCATGTTAGTGAGGGTTTTACATGAATGAAATCTTTCAGTGCTATGCTGAAGCTGTGCCATTCTAGCATAGGGGGAAAAGTGAGCTCTCCTGCTTGGATAATTTGCCACTTCAGGATTCCCAAAAAAGCTGTAGTAATCTAAGAATAAAATTTTTATTTTGCAGTGTATCAAACATGCAGCAGTAGCAACATTTGCTTTCATTGGAGAATTCCAGTGTAATTAAACAATTAACAAAACCAAAGCATTGGGTTCCAAATGCCCTGTGGAAACACAGAAGGGTGGGATGGCTGTGGCCCTGTGTCACATGTTGGGATTCTCCACTCCGGATCATTTTCTTTTTTTTTTTTTTTTTTGACAAGTTCATCCCTGGAACAGTTGTGAATGTAATTATTGTTTGAATTATTCTGAGTTCAAAATTTTATTTGAAGCAGTTGTTCGAGGGAAAAAAAAAAAAGAACAGCCATGCTACCACAGGATTTAGCTTACACTAGAGAAATGTAGTTTCTTTCCATCTCAGTTTCTCAGAGCACTTATTGCGAGTGCTTATGTTGATATTTTACACTACATTTGTTTAGATAAGAATACGTACTACTTCTTTCATCCCATGATGACAGAGGGTGACTCTAGTAAGTCAGAAAACCTCAGATTTTTTGCAGAACTGTTGTCTGCTTTGTGTAGGAACAGAAACAGCAAGATACGAAGAATTAAAAGAGAATTAAGTCTGTTTTTTCCTTTTAAGCCCAAAACATATTTTTTTCCCTGAAAGTTCTGTAACAGTGTAAAAATGAATTAGGTGGGAGGAAAGCAATTCTGAAGATAGGATGTTTCTAAAGCCTAGCACTTGTGAAAGAAGGAAGCATCTTTCCTTCAGCATATCCAGGAAAGGCTTTGTTTGTACCATGTGAAAAGATGTGTCTGAAGGAAAATACCACCTCAAGGTCTTAAATATAGCATTTAGTTTATACTTGTATTTTTCCCTTCAGCTCTTTTGGTAACTCTGGAAAAGTATGAGCAAATATTTGTTCCCCAAGCTGACTTGGCCCGTGCATCGTGTCCTCTATAGTTTTGCCTGCTCAGAGACTCCTTCTGGAAGAGCAAAGGCAAAGGACATCTCCCTTGCAACATCTGCTATCAGGGTATTATTTCTCTTCATTTGAGTTTCAGTTATACTCTGGGCTGCATTCTGCACCCTTCATAAAGTGCCCTAGATTGCACTGACACATACTTTCAAATTGACTACAAGTCATTAAGTCATTTCTTCTTTTGTGTCACAAATACTGCCTTTTGTGAAGATGAAGAGAGCAGGCACGGGGCTAGGTTTGTGTTATTTCATGTTACCAGAAGGGATGGACTAGATGATCTCTAGAGATCCCTTCTAATCTCAACCATTCTGTGATGAAAAGCGAAAGGGAGAGGAAACTCCGGAGGTCATTCAGTTTTGAGATAAGTGACCACTGTGTGAATGCCCCTCTGTCCTGTAATTATTGAATGTTCTGATTTCTGTGAGGAGACTTTTCAAGAACCCCTTCATTGCTCAGCATGTTCACTGAGCAATGAGTTGTGATAACTACCATTCCTTCATGAGTCGGTGTAGCATCAGTCCCTGAGACTTAACTACAAAAATACGCAAGCGTCTCTTAGTCAAACTTAGACTACCCTATGGAAAAAAAAAAAAAAAAAAAAAAGGATATCCTATAGGTACTAACCAATACTCAAAAGCTAACAAGCCTTCTCTCAAAGAAGCCCAAAGGTCCAAACGCAGAAACTAAAGAGTTGCGATTTTACGTCACATCTTGACTACAGGAATGTCTGAAGTTGCAGTATGTGCAGCTTTGTTATAAATCGCAATGACATTCAAGTATATCTCTTTTGGCTTGAAGCATTAAGTTTGTTAAGAAATTCAAATGTTTTCCCCTTGAAGCAGTAACCCCGTATTTTCCCTGCAAGAATTCCTTCTGATCTCTTCAATTTTACTCACTTGCAAATAGGTTTCAAAAATAAGTTTCCCTGTGGTACAACAAAGATTTTGATCAGAATGAGTCTAAAGAATGAAAGATTTGGCCAACATTTCTAATTTAACCCATTGTTCGTGGGAAGGATTCTGTTTTGGCCCTGTAGATTCATGTACATATGAAAACGAGCCATTAAGGCTGGCAGCAGCTATCAGGATGCCATCACAAGGGGAATGTTGAGTATATGACTAGATTGATGATAGGTTAGAGATGGTACATGTCAAAATAAGGCCATGGCATGTGCACTTATAGCCACAGACAACACTGGCAATCTTAGAACAATTTATTTATCTGCCTTTGCTACTGTCTACTTCACCGTGTGCGAGGCCCAATGCACAAACAGGATTGAAGATCTAAGCCATGCAAAACTGTACTGAACTCAGAACGTAACCAGTCCACTGTGAGAAAATGAGAGCCTCTATCTGTTGGACTGGTCATTGGTTTAGTCTTTTTTGCATGATAAACACACAGAATAAATTAGAAGCAAAAGAAACAAAAAATCCCCTTCTCTTAAGTTTCTATCTTAGGTTTGGCTTGGTTGCCCTCTATGGTAGAAACTGCCCAGAATTTCTGCTAGTGATCGAAACTACTTTGTGCCTGCTGTAACTGTGGGTGTTTGAGCAGAACAGTGAGACTTTGATGGCCCCATTCAGTCATAAAAACAGCAAGAAAACCCTGCAAGCGAAAATCCTTAAGAGTTCAAAGATTGGTTTGTAATTTGAGACGAAAAACTTGAGGTAAATAAGCATGTAAGTATTAGCCCTCCAATCAGAATCACCTCAAAAAGGGCTATATATACTTAAAGCATAAGATCATAGATAAATCTGTAGGTTTCTTTAATAATATTCTCATTTCTGAAGGTTCATGTCTAGATTATTTTAGAGCCAAAACAGATTCCTTGTCAGGGTCCACAGCTTCAGCAGAAAATATTCTTCTCAGCATGAAAATGAAAATCGGAAAATGGTTAAAGAAAAGTTTAAAAAATCAAATGCAACATTGGCTTCCTATGGAATTTGTTAGTGAGTTCTTCATGACTATGTTGATGTGCATAAAATAAAGAGCTTTTGGAAAGCATTTTAGAAAATGTTTTCCAATTTCGTGCTTGCAGTAAAGATGCAAACCTGACTTCTAACCCAACCAAATGCTCAGCAATTTCCCATCAGGTGGCTGTAAACCAAAGAACCACAATACACACTGTGTTTCTTGGACATATGAATGTGACTTATAGAGGGGAGGAGCTGAATCTTGGCAGTGGAGATAAAAGGCCTGGGCAGTAAAGAATCAGAATCAAGAGGAAACTAGCTACCGGTTCTGCTACTCCTACAGCTTCGGTGGTCTTGTCTGTAAATCTCAGACTAAGTTCCAATCTAGGTAATAAAGATTTTTGCTATCTTATCATTTATATATATATACACAAGTGTGTGCATTAAAATATATACATACATCTGTGTGCAGGTGTGTGTATATATATGCATATACATACCCAGATGAGAGAAAACTGTAAACAACAAACATTGTGCAATCAGTAAAATTTGTTAAGATGGTTTGTCTAATATGTGTGTCTATCTCTTCACTGAGATAAAGGTCCAGATTAAATTAAGACCGAGTGTGCAAGTAACTATGAGGAAGTAGTGCTTTCCTCAGACAGCTGAGTAACCAAACATAAACTGAGACGCTTCAGAAATTTTACATGCTGTAGATCAGAGCAGACCGCTGCGGTTACTAACTGTGGCCTCCACCAAAACACAGGCTAGGGCACATGCCTGTGTGCTGCCTCAGTTACTGGCTGAGTTTCTTCATCTACGTTTAGTCTTACAGCACTCAAGTGGAGAGAGATTCACCTGGTGGTTTTGAGAATGAGGCCCCTAAATTCGTAACCAGCCAGCAACTTCTGCAAAAGAGCTCTGGAAAAATAAGTGCCTGGTGCAGGGTACACATCTCCACTGACAATGTGCTCAGGGGGCTACAAAGAGGAGAAGCACAAGGAGTACTGCAGTATATGAGTTGTCGGGGCTCCTGGAACAAGTTGGGGCCGGGGTAGTGCCTGAAGTCTTCTGAGCTGGAAGCAGTCCGCAGCTGTAGCCAAGAGAACAGTCAGTCACCAATCAACTGCAGGAACACAACACCCGATAAAAGGAGTGCTTTTCATACAGGAAAAAGCAGCAGACTTCTCTCAGACAAAAATAAAGATTTTAGCAGATTGCACTATTTGACTGACTACCAAATGCACCAATTTCACTTCCCCATTAAGTGACTAAAAAGTAGGTTTTGGTCCCTCTAAGGTTCATCTTCAGAAAATCCTGTTCCTTGCCTCCCACAGAGCCCATGGAAATTCTTTCATTTTACCCAGGAGTGAGTTAGAAAAAAAAAATCCTTACTTTTGGGAGACCAAATTACACCAAGTTATGCTTCTGCATCCTATCTGAGTCCTGCCCGATGGCTGGGCTGGGACTGGGTTAGTTGAGGTGGGATGTTGGTTTACATTGAACTCTCAAGTCTTTGCCTGCTTCCGCTATAAGAGAAGTTGCAAAAGTAAGTAAAACACTACTTACTTCTGTGCTGTGATTCTTTCATGTCAGAAAATTTCATTTCAGGTACTCTGAATACTCTGTATTTTCAGATACAATAAAATTTGGAAATAAGCAAATATTATCACCCAAGAGCAGCTTCTAGTCAGCCCTGAACAGTATGCTCTAATTAAAAATTGAGTGTACCAAAAATGCACTACCCCCTTTTCCTTTTCTTTCACAAAAGATTTATAGAAATAGAAATCACAGAAACACAGAATTGTTGAGGTTGGAAGGAACCTCTAGAGATCATCTAGTCCAACTCCCTTGCTCCAGCAGGCACACCTAGAGCATGTGGCACGGGGTGGAATCCAGGTGAGTTTTGAAGATCACCAGAGAAGGAGACTCCACAGCCTCCCTGGACAGCCTGTTCCAGGGCTCTGTCACCCTCACAGTAAAGAAGTTCCTCCTTACATGGAGATGGAACTTCCTGTGTTTCCATTTGTACCCATTGCCCCTTGCCCTATCACTGGCCACCACCAAGAAGAGTTTGGCTCCATCCTCCCTATGGTCTCCCCTCAGGTACTTATACATATTGATCAGCTCTCCTCTCAGTCTTCTCTTCTCTGGGCTAAACAGGCCCAGCTTGTTTAATCTTTCCTCCTACGAGAGATGCTCCAGTCCCTTAATCATCTTTGTTGCCCTCTGCTGGTCCCTCTCTAGTAGCTCCACGTCCCTCATACTGAGGAGACCAGAACTGCACCCAGTASTCCAGGTGGGGCCTTGCCAGAGCTGAGGAGAAGGGCAGGATCCCCTCCCTTGACCTGCTGGCAACATCCTCCTGATGCAGCCAGGATCCCATTGGCCTTCTTGGTGTTGAGGGCACACTGTCGCCTCATGGTTAACTTGTTGTCCACCTCGTCTCTCAAATCACTCTCCATAGAGCTTTTTTTCCAGCAGGTCAATCCCTGAATCTGTTATGCCAATTTAGAAGCTGTTTGCCTATCTTTCTTTTAACTGTGAATTTCCATGCAGGATACCAGTTGAACGTGCCCAGAATTTTCTGCGGAGGAGAGAACTACAATTGGTTTTCATTCCAGAGCTACACAACATTCGCCTTTTTATCCCAGATCTGCACTGCCTACTCACTTGCCCTGCAATCTCAGGATGGAATATTCACTTGGTAAGTGTCATTGGTGCCGGTGCAGCACAATCATTTCTGCACTGCCAGCAACCTCATCCACAGAATCACATGAAATCACAGAATGTCTGAGGTTGGAAGGAACCTCTAGAGATCATCTAGTCTGATCTCACAGCTCTAGCAGGGACACCAAGAGCAAAGGTTCACATCCATTTTTTTTTAATATCTCCAAAGAAGGAGACTCCACAAACTCTTTTGGCAGACTGTTCCAGGGTTCTGTCACCCTAACAGTAAAGAAGTTCTTCCTCATATGGAAAGGAAACTTCCTGTGTTTCAATTTGTATCCATTACCTCTTGTTCTGTCGCGGGCCGCCTCCAAGAAGAGTTTGGCCCCATTCTCTTTACATCCTCCCCTCAGATATTTGGACATGTTGATAATAGCCCCTCTCAACCTTCTCTTCTCTAGGCTAAACAGGTCCAGCTTGCTTAGTCTTTCTTCGTAAGAGAGATGCTCCAATCCCTTAGTCATCTTCGCTGCCCTCTTCTGAACCCTCTCTAGAAGCTCCACATCCCTCTTATACTGGGGAGCCCAGAACTGCACCCAATATTCCAGGTGCAGCCTCACCAGAGCTGAGRAGAGGGGCAGGATCCCCTCCCTTGACCTGCTGGCAACACTCCTCCTGATGCAGCCAGGATCCCATCGGCCTTCTTGGCCACGAGGGCACACTGCTGACTCATGGGTAACTTGGTGTCAACCAGGACCCCCAGATCCCTCTCCGTGTAACTGCCCTCCAGCAGGACAACCCCTAATCTGTACTGGTGCCTGGGGTTATTCCTCCCCAGGTGCAGGACCCTGCACTTGTCCTTGTTCAACCTCATGAAGTTTTCCTCTGCCCAACTTTCCAGCCTGTCCAGGTCTGTCTGAATGGCAGCACAGTCCTCCGGAGTGTCGGCCACTCCACCCAGCTTGGTGTCATCTGCAAACTTGCTCAGGGTGCACTCAGTGTCCTCGTCCGGGTCCTTAGCCAGGACCGTAGCATCGGCACAGCTCATATGTTGAAGAGCCAGAAATAATCCAGGGGAGGGCAGCAATGGCTTTCATTCCATGCAAAGCAACGCTATGGAGTGCCCTGCCATTGAACACCCTTTTCTTCCTTTCTAGATGAACACATGGTGGAAAACCACACTGCTGACGTAGAGGACTTCCTACTGACAACTGAATACCTCTATGAAGAGGGCATGCCATGCATGAACATTGAAGAAAGGAACTTTGCAGCAAAATTTCTGCCACCRCTTTAYTCTCTGGTGGTGATATTTGGCCTCCTGGGCAACATGCTCGTTGTCCTTATTCTGGTGAAATACAAGCGGCTCAAGAGTATGACTGACATCTACCTGCTCAATTTGGCAATTTCTGATCTGCTCTTCATATTTTCCCTCCCGTTTTGGGCTTACTATGCTGCCCGGGAGTGGATTTTTGGCGATGCGCTCTGCAAGATTCTCTCAGGTGCCTACCTGCTCGGCTTCTACAGCGGCATCTTTTTCATCATCCTCCTCACCATAGACAGGTACCTGGCCATAGTGCACGCGGTGTTTGCTTTGAAAGCCAGAACAGTCACCTACGGCATCCTGGCCAGCACTGTCACTTGGGTTGTTGCTCTGTTAGTCTCCCTCCCTGGAGTCTTCTTTCACAAAAGTCAACTGGAAGGTTCTCGTAATACTTGCAGCCCTCACTATCCMATATCTGATGCCATAAATTGGAAGTACTGCCAAACTTTAATGATGAACATCCTGGGACTTATTCTCCCCATGCTCATTATGATTTTCAGTTACTCCCAAATTCTAAAAACATTAATGAGATGTAGGAATGAGAAAAAGCACAAAGCAGTCAGACTTATTTTTGTGATCATGATTTTTTACTTTGTCTTCTGGACACCATTTAATATTGCCTCTTTTTTGTATACCTTTCAAACTTCATTATCCCTCAATACTTGTGAAGCCAGTGGTCCGCTGGGGAAAGCAATCCAAGTGACAGAGACGATTTCAATGATCCACTGCTGTATCAACCCGGTGATCTATGCATTTGTGGGAGAAAAATTTAGGAAATATCTTTATGCCTTTTTCCGAAAGCATGTTGCAGCTCACCTCTGCAAAAAGTGTCCTGCTCTTTATCGTGAAAAATTAGAAAGAGTCAGTTCCACATGCACCCCATCCACTGCAGAGCATGACATCTCAACTGGACTGTAAGAAAGATCGAGTAGTAAACTTTGCATCACCCTCTTTGCCTTAAGGACTGCACTTTTTATTGAAGATATGTATGGTAATCACTACTGAAAGCTGGATTTTTGTAGTTATTGTATTGTAGTTAATTGTAGTATTATTGTAGTTAATTGTTCCCTTGGAATACAGCATTTTCTGTTTTTACGCTAAGAGAATTGATGAGTTGTCCAGAAAAGTTATATGCCATACTAGCATCACTTCAAAATTTGAATGAGGCCCAGAATAGTATGATTCTGGTGCTTGACACCCATTTTATCCAATGAATAAATGCTAGCAAGATTTTCTTATGAGGAATACAATATTGAAGAGACTAAGGAGTGATGTACCATGTCACAAGAGCCCTCTATTGTTATGCAAACAATGTAAGATAAATACTTGGAGGAAGTTTTGAGGATCGATGACCTGTTTAGTTTTCAGCATTAATGACAAACCTAAAATCCTAATGACTTTTGGAAGTGTCAGTGTTCTTTCTGTAGCACAGGTAGCTATTTGGAAGCATTTAGCTGTCTTTATTTTGCTCCTCTCCCCCTGCATGAATAAAAGATATTTCCATTAATACAAGGTTGAGGATGAATATGAGATACGTGAATATCTCTTCTCTGCTGGCAGAGGTGACTGACCTTCATCTTGGGCCATTCTAGCCAAGGATTTATCTAATATGTAAATTTAATTACATGTAAAATTTAATTCTTTTCTTTTAGCTATAAGCTAAATTATAGTATTTTGTTTCAGTTCATTAATTTCATGCCTGCCATATCAATGTTCAGTTGCTAACATCTTCCAAATGGCAACACCAAGGTTTCTGTGGGATCAATGTTACAAGAAATTGCACGCTCCAAGGAAAACATCACATGGTCAAGAGAARAAAAGAACATCAGCAAAGCTCCTCAAGGAAGCAGTAAAATTGCCTTGCTATTTGTCATGTCAGATTTTGTATAAAAAATTAAAATAACATCATATATTTCTGAAATAATTTGGAGACCATGAGCACTGACTGGAGACCATCCTAGTCCTGGATAGATAAACTGAAATGTGCAAAGGGCCCAGAAGATGCAATAGCTAGGGTTAGGCTCCTAYGCAATACGAACATGCTGTGAGTATACAATGTAAGTTGGTGTTTTGGGATACCTTCTGTGCAGAAAGCAGCCTTGAAATCCAGAAAAGCAACTAAGTCCAGAGTAGACCTTCTGCCTTTCACCTTCTCAAGAGAATAGTTTCCTCTGAGCACTGATGCCACAATCAAAAATCAGTCCTTACTGAAGACTTAGGCTGTTAGCATGAGCTGCAGTGTCCTGCTCTCCAGAGGCCCCTGGAGGTGACTGTAGAAGGAAAGCTCTGAAGCCTCACACTTGCTTACAAGACAACTAGAAGAGTGAGCGTGCAGTGAGGAAAACAGAGCCTGGAATAACACTGTCCCTTAGGAAAAATTGTGAAGGTTCACGTGGTTTGAGTTGTTTCATTTAGCCAGAATCTCACCATACAGAACTATCTCTTCTGCTCTACAAGTGTCCTATGGTTGTAAATTTATGCCTTTATTTGGGATTTCCTGTRAAATAAAGTGGGGATATGATGTTAGCAGAGAAGAGAGATGCGCAGAGGGGAGTAGTTTTTGCTTCATGCTGTAAGGGAGTGCACTAATATTAGGCATGCAACTAAAACAGCAGCAAGTCTCTTCAGTGCCCTTCAGAGGTCAGCTGAGAGAAAGAGATGTCTGTGTCAGAAGCAGAAACTGAATTTAAATGGACTCTCGGATCGATTACTTCTCTGACCATGGAAGGAACGTAGAGGTGCTGGCTTGGTAATTCAGGCATCAGATGCCTCAGAGTGGGTAGCATGAAGAGGAATAGTCCCTTTAGCCTTACAACTTCAAGGCACTCCTACTAGTTGCCAGCTCTTATATTGTCAGATATGACATTCTGGCAATTCCTCTATGATGTTAACAGTTGAATACCAATTRAAAGATAGCATGCTCATAGTAAACTTCCCTGCTTGGAAATAACTTTTTTCCTTCTTTTGCACCTTTTTTATTGCACTAAAAGGAAGCACCTTTTTACTATTAAAGCAAAAAATAGTGTGATACAGAGATTGTAAGTATGATTATTACTGTATTGTATTTTAAACTCTTGATTTGTAAGAATTAATTCCTCCTTTTCTCATGTTAATGCAGTGATATTAATAAAATTAGTGCCTGAAATGCAATACMTACCCTGTAGTCCATGTTTTCCTTGGGATTGAGAGGCCATCAACTCTAATCCTAGAGGGCAGGTGGCAAAAGAGACRAGGATGGGCCTGAAACTGCTATACCACACTCTGAGGCAACCCAAATCTACCAAGTAGAGATCTGTTCATGCAGTCTAGAAGCCCTGGTAGCTGGTGTAGCTTTAGTCCATCAAGAAGCTTAAGAATAGACTTTGGGAAAAGTCTGGAGGCATAAATTTTAAGATGGATGACATCTGGCAGGTAGGAAGAAAAGGGCTGTGTATGCTATGAAGAAGAAGAAGTGGAGAATACAAAGAGCAATAAAAGATGACACTTTATTTGGTATTGGGATAAAGACAGGATTCTCCAAAAGCTTTCTGCAGCTGATTTCAGATCTCCTTATACTGAATCTGTATCATAGACTGACCACAACCAAATGGCCTTATCTCCACCATTTTATGTGTAGGCAACTTTAAGCATTTAATATGGAAATATGCCTCTGCTTCCATGTGTCATTCTCCCTGTTGCACTGTCCCAACCCCTTACTTCTAGCCTACCATCCAGACTCTCTTGCTTGCACTGTTTTCTTATCTCTTTTCTACAGAATGAGCTAGATTATATATACACCACTTTTCTTTCCAATTTTCATTGTCTGTTTCATGCTGACAGGAAAAACAAAAACAGCAAACCCTAAAGGATTAGCTTATTGTCATGTTACATGTCCAGCAAGGACCATTTTTGGTCAATCAGGAAGGGTCTTTGTGGTGGTTATTGCACTGAGGAAACAAAGTGTTGGTGGCCTCCAGACAACTTTGCAGCAGATTCTGAGTCTTGGCCAGTGAGATGTGGCTGCATCCTGGTACAGAAACAGGTCAGGTTGCTGTGAATTAGGCTAGCAGCACTTGAGAGAGTGACGAAATGAGAGTGTGCATTAGAAAGCATGTGCAAGTAACACCAGAAAGGCAACACGATTCAAGAGAAGACCTCTGGAAATGCTGCAGATTTACAACATTGAACTTCTCAGAGGATGATGAGTTGACAGGATTTTGTATCATGCTTATGAAAAGAACATCCGTGTGTAATCAATAAACTTCTCTGCACAGCCCAGCAACCAGTCAAATGGAGGAGGCTTTGCACAAGACAGGACAGAGCCAGACCTTCATGTTAGGAAATGCTACTACCACATATCTGGAAGCATTTGGGGAGGACTCCTCAAAGAGCAAAACTGCAGATTGTCCCTGGCAGATATTTTCTATGGGGCAAAAGGAAATGTAACAAAAGCACATATATGGTGTTAGTGAGTGCTGAGTGGTATCCACAAAGAACCACCAGATTTATAATGGTTTGCTTGTGGTATGAATAAATAGAAATAGTGAAACTTCTGGTAAGCAGAGCATGGGGATGTTCCTGTCACAAGACATTGTTGTTTGTTAATCCAACTGTGACTTTATGTGAGGCTCCTCTAAATAAGATAATGGTGGCTGGCACAAAGAGAAAGGGGAGCAAGTGAAAATAGATGACTATGGAAAAGTAGTGGGGGAAAAAATGGAAGAATTGCTTTATTAGCTTTAGTAAAGGCTAATAAAGTAATAGGCGGAGTAATGGAGAGATCAGAGTGCAAACATATAGGCACTTTAATTCTAACCTTAAAAGATTTAGGCAAGTAGTAGGGGCTATTTCAGTGAAGTAGCTCAGAAACAAGTATCACTCCTTCCAGGGAAAATGAGAACAGTGCTGAACACTATGAACATAAGGACAACTTTTGCACAGTATCTTACTGCAGTTAACAAAACATACATAGATGAAATGCCATGTGAGTGATATAAAGCCAACCAGATTAAACATCCCAAAAGGCTCTTGTTCCCTTTTGAAGTTTAATTTTCCCACTGCTTTCAATTACCAAGGCCTACTGACTTTTTCCAAGTGGCTATTGTGGTTACAGTGCCCTGAGGAGCATTAGGTCTTCTTATTGCAATGAAAAAAAGATTGAAGATAACATTAAAATCAGAAATAAATCAGTAAACTCCAGCATATTCAGTAAATCAACAGCAACCTGCAAGGCCAAAACACAGAAGGATGTTTCTTTAGGATAAGGGGTGAAGACATTGCTTTGTACCCACAATGTAGTGACACTTGCCTAGGAGGAACTGTGTTTCACTTGTAAAAAATCATTACAAAACTGCCAAGCCGTGCTGTATTTCCTAAGACAGTGAGGGCAGTCTTGGTTTGAGTGTCTAAAGCTTGAAATGACTGATTCCACGAAGGTGAGGCCACAGCACTGAGCTGGAGAAGGGCAACGTTATTGAATAAAAAGGCTAATGTGCAAAACTACACAAACCTTCAACTGAGAATCAGCCTCACAAAACTGCCTGCRAATCTGTGCTAGTGGGACGCTAAGAGCACAACCTGCCCTGATACCTCAATTTCTGAACAGAATGGAAACCAAGCGAGTGGAAGAGAAGGAGCCATCTGGACATCACCTACAGGGATGCTGTCTTGAGGTATGGGCAATCATACGCTACATCTGTTCTTTAGCATCTAGGAGTGTGTACCTATGTCCTCGCATGTACCTTGTCACTGTGCAGACTCTCTCCTGTCTTTCTGCGACATAGATTTTACTATGATGAAAATTGATGTGTAATTTCCCTAGCCTGGCTAATCAGGGAACCAGGGCTTTAAAACACACTGAGAGCTACTCCTGGCTCACTATTTAGACAGCTACAAGCAGCACGTATATTGATCTAGAAGTTGTAATAAAAATGCAACTGAAAACTGCAGAGTGAGATTTGAAGGCCCATGTAAAGATGGAGCTCCTAGAGAGCTGTAAATTTGTGAATCCCATGTCTAAGAACCCAAAAGAAAGGCTATTCCAGTATTCAACATCTTATATGTAAGTAGAGCAGTACATATCAGAAGCCTAGATAAAAGCAATGGAAGGAGCAATGCTCTTTTCCTCTTCACTGCATCAGAGAGTGCTGCTAGCTGAGTAAAAGAGTCTTGGGGAAACCCCAAACAAAAATAATTCAATGGCAATGGAATGAATATGTGCTGCAGTGGATAATTATTTAATGCAACATTTACAGAAGACACAAATAGAAGAATAACAGGAAATCCCTGCGCCCTGATCTCATTGCCAACAAACAAGCAGCGTCAGTTGGATGTCTTTAAATTCAGCTTCTTCAAAACAAAGATACTTAAATACAACTAATGAAATAAAGGATATACAAATCAAGTCTAATTTGGAAGGTGATTTTGTCAATAAAATAAAGAAATGGGATGCAATTGGGGGTAACTATGCAGAAAGAAATGAGTCAGGTCCATATTTACATGTCTTCATCAGACCCCTTCTCCGGATGCGAAGGATAGTCTGTTTTGCTGTAGCTCTAGCCCTTGATAAGAACATTACATATTGTGTACCTCTGCAAAAGGTTCCTGCCATTCTCTGCTAGAACTTTTTGTCTTTTCCTTGGGAGCTCATATGATTATAGCAAATAGAACGGAACTCAGTTGCATTTTCCASTTTCTGTACCTTTACTTTGCTTGATGACGGCTCTGTGTCACAGTGGTTTGCATGCGTCTAGCACAGGTTCCAGCAGATACCTCAGTCCTGGTGTGGGCTTCATTCAAACGGTGGCAGCTCCTTGCAAGAGCACCATACTGCTGAGTTATGGAGCAGCTCCAGTGTGGTGGCCTGGTGACTGTGAAATCAGTCATTGCAAAGAATAAGACTGAGCACATTCTSTCCAAGAGCTGCTGCGCAAGGGGTTGAGAAAAACTGACCTTGGAAGAAAGACTGTTACCTGCAATGATCCTATCTCAGCACTGACATACTAGATGGAGGCTGTTTGAGGGCAGTAGGTGGAATCAGTGAGTGAAATATTCACTGAATATTCCTTTCATTCACTCAGAATGAAAAGTTATAGTGAACAGATGGAAATATTAATAAAGCTAATGAATCTCTGGGACTATGGACTATTTTTGAAGACTAGTTTGCCATGAAGTTTAGCTTTAAGTTGTGGATTTCAAATGTTTGAGACTATCTTGGCGATAATATATTTCAGAAAGAAAAGTCTGTCAAAAAACAGGCAATTCAACAACAGATTTCAGTTTGCTTCCCTTCTTTATATAAAGTGAGCTCATAAAASGTTTTAAAGTCTCAAGCATGTTAAACAGCATCTAATAGATGGCGCTGTGTGGGAAGAACTAAACAGGGTAAACTGAGAGACACATTTCAGAAAGAAAGCCTAATGTAGACTGTTTAGAAATCATATATTGAAAGCATTATTTTGATACAATATTTCATTTGGGAATGATAAGAAATCATTTTAAGAAAGCAGTTGTGTCAAATTTTGGGAAAGATTATGTTAGAAGCTAAGTGTGAGCTGGTGCTAATCTCTTGCAGTACAAATGCAGCCACTAATTTAAGCCAGTAAATGCTTGCAGGAAAGTAAGGCTCCATATGTTAATGTCACAAGGCAGGTAAGTTTGTTTATATATTGAGAGATGACTCATGAGAAAATAAGAGTTGCTGTGTGAAATCAGCTTGATACCTCACTTGAGTAAACAAATACTCACAGGTACGTTTAGCAGAGCCCAGCCACAACTCAGCCACAATCATAATCTTTGCTGTTTCCTAACCTTAGTTGTTATGTGAATGCATGCAGTATTCTAATATTTATAGCCATATATATAGCTCCACTTAAAAAAA